ACGATGAGGTCTGCTGTGTCGGCCATTGCTCCTCCCTCAAGGTAATCTTTCTTTACCTGTTCGTGTCACATGAGAGTCACATGACAATGAGCTATGAATATCATTAATTATAGTGTGTGCGTACCTTTAACCAATGTCTTTTACCAGGCTCATAAATACTCTAAAATATCAATAAATATTATATAAAAATATTTAAAGTTCTTAATATACTTTAGTGTCTTTAAGTACAAGCCCCTCAAGCCCTTTTTTAATGACAGTCATTATGAGATCTGAAAGTTCTTCTGGTTGCTGTAAGAAACGTTTTCATGATCACAATCATGGCTAATTTTAAAATTATTTTTCTACAAACTTTAACTAATTTAGCCTCGGAGAGCATAATGTGGTTCTTGACTTCCTTAACATTCTCTTCTAATAGTTTACGCCTCTTTATTATCGGGCTAAAGGAAGTGGGCGTGGCAATGGGTGTGGTTAAGATGGAGACTTACGTATCCAATAAACTCTCTCCATTGAAGTAAAGCAAATCAAAAATGAAGAGGCAGCAAACGGCGTCTTTAAAAGCATTTTTCTAAATTTCAAAATTAAACAATAATATTTTCGGCCGTAAATGAAAAGTCATCTGATCGATTCCATGTACATGTGCAAGTATGAATATTAAAATTTCCTTTTTCCATATGTTACCTTGTGGATCCCTAGTGTTCCGAAAGGGAGAGGGTCCCCAGTCTTTATGTCAACCATTAGTACTTCACAGTCTAGTATCATGCTATCGCCATGGGGACAGGCCTGGGGCAAGTAATCTTTAATATGAGCTACCTGGAAGAAACAAAATATAAATAAATTGGTGAAATGTAAAAAAGTGTATTTTTGCACTAATTTATAAATATACAATGTACGCATAGTTATATCAGAAAAATTATAAAAATTGAAATTTTTCTCTTTTTAAATTTTGGGAAAATTTGGCCCAAGACCATGTACTGTAGTACAGGGACTTTCTCCTAATTTGGAGCAACTTTAAAAATTCGTAAAAAATCCAAATTTCATTGGAATCAGTTCAAACTTGCTACACAACATAAGAACATGTATATGTATCAAAAAAAGTTATAAAAATGGAAAATTCTCTCCTAGTCATTTTTGGCAAAATTTGGTCAAAATCCCTGTACTATAGTACAGGGACTTTGGCCCAATTTTTGAGTACCTTAAAAAATTTGTAAAAAATTCAATTTTGATCGGAATCAATTCAAACTTGCTACACAACATAAGAACATATATATGTATCAGGAAAAGTTATAAAAACCAAAAATTCTCTCCTAGTCATTTTTAGAAAAATTTGGTCAAAGTCCCTGTACTATAGTACAGGGACTTTGGCTCGATTTTAAAGTAACTTTTAAAATTCGTAAAAAATCCAAATTTCATCGGAATCAGTTCAAACTTGCTACACAACATAAGAACATGTATATGTATCAAAAAAAGTCATAAAAATGGAGAATTCTCTCCTAGTCATTTTTGGCAAAATTTGGCTCGAGACCCTGTACTATAGTACAGGGACTTTGGCTCGATTTTTAAGTAACTTTTAAAATTCATAAAAAATCCAAGTAATAGTATGACTGCCTGCACCTTGTGTCCCTGTACTGGCTTTAGACTTCTTGAAAAGTATTGAAAAGTAGTTCCTTGTTTGTGGACTTGGACCCTCTCCCCATCGTACTTAATCTCAGCAAACATTCCATTGGGACACTTCTTCATTGCCATGGCAACTGAACGACAAGCCTCTGCCTATAAAGAAAGTGCTTAAATATTTTAAATACTTGTCCTCATTTACGAACCAGCATTGGCTTGACTGGAGTCATTAGAGTCACACGGATACTCAACTCTTTCGTAAGACCGGGTTTTCCGCCTGCACCTTCTTCCGATTTTGAGAGAACTCTCTGGACCACGTCCTCTAAATCATGGGATACCTGAAAAGCTGCATAAGCATTTGGATCCAGTGCGTCCATTCTAATTAAAAGAGAGTGTGGGGTCATGTGAGTTTCATGTGACTGTAAGTATTACATGTGTTTGGGTCCAGCGTTGGTCCTGAGATCATGTTTTATTAGTCTAATGATGTACTTTATGTCATTACCTGTACACCTGGAGGGATTAGGGATTAAGAGTAATGATTCTAATTTAGAGGATTACTTTCTTATTATTGATAAAAATTCTTTCTTTTGCTCGTCTTCTTTCGTCAATTTCTCCATCCTATCGAGGAAACTATCAACCTAAAAAAAGCAACAATTTACTATTAATATTTTCTATTTATTTATTTTGTTCATACATCAAATAATGTTAAGGTGCTCTTAGCAGCTGGTTTTATGACCGATTCTTCCTCAAAAAACTTCTTTGCTGTTTCAGCCACGTCACCCTTCTCAAGGTCTTCAACCATGTCGTCTAAACTGCACCCGTAAGCCTACAAACAATTGTCAAATGATAGTCACATGATGTTCTTGAGTACTTGACTAAGTATTTTGACAATTTGCTTGCTCTGGAGGTTGTACACTCTTTTCTTCCCTGCCCCTGGTAGGAGGAGCTTTACAAGTAGATAAAGATCTCCGCTAAACCCATCTAGTAATTAAAATTAATTTGACTAATATATGCATCAGAAAATGTAATAAAAATGGAGAATGCTCTCTAAAACATTAATTTTCTGTAAAAATTTTGACACGACTAATTCACTTTCTCTCCTCTGACCTCCGCTGTTCCCTCTCTTGATGTAATTCTGAACTAGTTTAGTTTTTGAGTTATAGCTGGGTTCATTCTCAAGGTCCTCACATAACCTCCGATACTGCCTAAAAGAATTGTCAGGATTGCTACTTCCGCCAGCCCCACCCCCTTCACTGCTAGTAGGTGTGGCTGTGGTTGGAGCCAAGGCCTTTACTGGTGACACTGTAGCTCCCGAGGCTGAAGCTCCTCCACCTCCTTTTTTGGGCGTGACTGGTAAAGTTGTTTGAGTCTTTTTCTTTGATCCTTTAGCAGGTGACTTTGGAGCGAAATCTATGAATGTCAAAAACTGTCACTCATTATAAAATAAGAATGACTCCCTTACCTTTTATGAATTGTTTTATTTCGTCTTTCTCTGGGTCCTTGAGGTTTGAAAAACCTTCCAAGTCGGCCGGCGACTCGATCTTCTTTGTAGTAGCCCTGGCTCTCTGGAGCGTCTCAAACATACAGCGACTATGATACCAGACCTTCATATCACCTCCATCATCACTGAAAATTAATAATAAACAATAAATTTTATAGCAGATTCAAATTATCCTATAGTACTGGTACATTATTATTATTTTAAATTAAAGTGTAAATTCAAAAATTTTATTAGACACGCAATTTTTCGTAAATAATAAAAGAATATTTAGATCTTATCATCACCTGAAAGGGTTTGGGGTTATTTTCCCTATCCTGCAGACTCCTTTCTCTATCTTACTCTTGCATTTCTTGCAACTGCTCCGTCCTGTGGTCGCATATTCCACACAATACCTTGCCTCGGACGCCATTTTGAGCCACACCTTTGCGTGGGAGAAAGATATTTATCACGTGACCATTTTAGCGCACTAATAGGCGTGGCCAGCACGTGGTGTGGCCGGTCATATGATACTGCAAGCTTAGCTCTCCTCTCTCTCACTCTTTCCCTGGTCTCTCTTGCTAATGGCAGTCCATTTGGAGAGGAGAGGGATACTGAGGGCTAGTGTGAACATTGTTAGAGTCCTTATAGGAGTCTCTCTCGTCCTACTCTCAGGAGTTCTCTCTGAAAGTGGTGGAATCCTCAATCGCTGTAGAGGTGGTTTTGCCAACCTCTCTTCCATCAGCTACTGGCCAAGACACGATATATCTAGGGAGCTCTTCTCCCTCCTCACTGGCCTACTAGTGGTGAGATAGACCTCAATAATTAATACATGTACATTTAGATGCAATTTGATGTATCATACAAGTACATTGTATATTAAAGCATAAATCTCAATTCTTGTATAATGAAGGCCTTGCAGTTCACTGTACGCATAATAGATTCAACTATTTTAAACACTCTTTCTTCAGTTTGTAGTAGGTGGCCTACACTTAAGAGCTGGTCTTTTAGTATGGCTACTCACGCAATGGAGTCTATTTGTTGGGTGGGGTTCATATATGAACGTTGGTAGCTCTGAGACCGACACAAACAGGTAATAAACATGACATACATGTACTTTTTATGTTCATGTACACTTATAGTTGTTAAATTAGATTAATGAGGTCTTGTTTATTGATTTGTTAATAATGGAACTGTGTGAATGCTATAGCTTCGCATTATCTTTATCAATTATGCTATTAGTATTTTTACTTGTTTGTTTATTATGATATAATCTTGTATGTGCTAAATGTATAACCGTGTCCATCTTGTGCTAATTTGATTATTTAATACTATCGGAATGTTATATACTGTCAGCTTGTATAAGCTCTACATGGTAGTATAGGGCTGATGTTTTTCTTAGCATTTATAAATTTTATTCATGAGTCAGTTGATTTGATTTAATGAGATTCACAATGGGTCATGTGATCATGTGACACTAGCGTGAATTCAAAAACAGTCCAGTTGCGGATATTCATGCTTTATCAATGCCCTCTATTCTTTATTTCCTTATTTCTTTCCTCCTCAATTTTTCTCATATACCCCTAACATGTTAAATGATTCTGAAACTCACTTTTCTATTCGTAATGTTATAAGCTTCATTTAATCTCTCTCTCTCTCTCTCTCTCTTTCTCTCTCAGTCGTTCAGGTATATTTGACTGGTTGCTTGGAAGACAGGAGGAACATTGGGATTATACTCAACGTGTCCTGAGAGAATATTCCGGAATGTCTCTCAGAGGACTCATATGGACCGCACCTCAAGGCTACGCCCTACAACAGCTAGGCTTTGGCTGGCAGTACAGCCTCTCTGGTAGTCTAATGGGCCCAGTGTATTTTGTAGGCTCTAGAACTGGTATTGGAGACAACGATGGTAACTCAACGCGTCACGGGGAAAATGATTTCTTTGATTCTACGACTGCCTACTCCGAGTACGTGTGGGGCACACTAGTCTGGTTCTTTCTTATTGTATCGTGTCTGACTCAGCTAGTTCACTCCGTGAGGGTTTGGGTCTACAACAGGAGCAATCCACTCACCCCCAATAATCCAGTGAATCCTCAGAGTCGGTATAACGCTCGTTTGTACGCGTCTCTCAATGTCTTCCCATGTGAGGTGATCTATAATATAATATTCGCTGTACTTTGGGCTCTGTTCGCTTCGTCCATTATTTTTTATTCTCTTATAAACCAGTCTGATATCCGTAACAAGGCACAGACGTTTTTCGGTCTGACTGTATCGACACTCTCTCTTACCTTTTTTATCGGTTGGAGGTGGGGTTCCTGCTACCATGGACTAAAGCAAAGGAGAGAAGCCACTAGTGATGCTAGCAATCTAGTCCAAGTCACTCCAGTAACGAGAAGACAGCAGCAACACTTATACAGGGCAGCGAACGACCTTGAAAGAGGAGGGGGAGGAGGAGAGCAAGAGACAGATCCTCTTTTACCCTGGCCGTACTCCCATCCTGATAAAGCATACGCTAACCGTCGCTCCCCTGTCCCCTGTGATTCTCTTCCTCTTTCGTCCACTAACAGTGCATACAGTCCAGTGTTATTCTCCTCCAGGACTGCCGTCAATAATAGACAGAGGGTAAGACGAAGGAGTGGCCGTTACTCGAGATTCTCGCTATCTTGTATCATGGCTTGGGCCTTCCTTGAAAAGTGGGTGTGGCTAGATTTCTTTGCCATTTCCCGTCACCTGATTGGTTTCGTGTCGCTAGCGGCAACAGCTGTTACTTTGGTTACGACTTCAATTGCGTTTGTATGGGATATTGAATCGCCCAGATTCAGAACTAACATTAGTTGTTATGATTGATGTGCATAAATGAACATGAGCAGCAAAACGAAATACCAGTATATATACATGCATATGTATCTATTATGTCATAAAGTTATTATTATTATTATTATTATTTTTAATATCATTACAAATTAAAGTGCAATGAATGACAATTTAATGTACAAAGCAGCTTTGAGCTAATTGTCACTGTGGTAACAGAATCAAATTAGAAAATGGTTAACGTTTGTCAACAGTAAAAAGTATACGAAATGCACAAAAAATGATCCAAGTCCCTTCTCTAATCAGCATACTGTATAGAAAGCCTGCAGCTGTCAGCACTAACTTCCTGAAGACCTGTTGAATGCTCTCCGATTGTACTCTCTGACGACAAAATAGAATTATTCTCCTCCTCTTCCTCTGTCTTATCAAATATCATGTTTCGGCGTTTCTTGTACAGGACTTTCAGGCAGCATGTAAAACGACAACAGAATCTGAAACAAGGGCAGTGTTTAAAGCAGAGCTTGAAAGTGGAAGCACAAATAAGGCTCCTCGTCTTTGAGTTGAAGATAATGAAGAGAAGAGCATTAGCCCAGCCTTGACCACCTTCACCAATAGCCTACAGAAAGAAGGAAGCATCACAAAATTGTATGTGGAATCAATTGACAATAGTAAAGAAAGCTTCAATGGAAAGACAATGTGTGAATGTCCATTATCAAGAATGAGGTGAGTATAGTGTTTATAAGTCCTTATCAATCCTTACAATAGTCAAAACAATCCAGTATATGTGACCATAATTGACAAAAGGTACCTTATGGCGGGTAGTGAAATTTGTCTTTCTAGCCTAAGAAATCTAACTTCCTGAGCCCCATTTATCATAAAATTACTCCACAGGATGCAAAAAGTTGCCATGAAACTTTTAGAAACAATGATTGTCTAACAAAGCACTCACAGGTTGATATTTTCCATTATAATGATCAATTTTAAAATCCGCCATAAGGGCCCTTTTGTCAATTATGGTCACATATGTTATACATAAAAAAACAATACACATTGGCTATAGTAAATTTTAAATTGGTGAATACATACTTCTAATATTCCTAATACAAAATGGATGATGTAGACAGGATAAATGACACAGCCTTTGTCGAAATACTTTGACACGGAGAGTATAAAAAAGATTTGAATGAAACCCCAGATTCTCAGTAATATGAACGCCATCGGAATCATGAGGAGTTTATTGTCAATTTTATTGAGAGAGTTTTGTATGAGTGCTCCGCTGATTGTACTGGACTCGGCTTTCACTCTACGCTTCTAAAAAAAGAAACAGAAAATGTAGAGGAGGAAAAAAAAGAGGGAGGGAGAGTTTGTGTAGCACTTGCAATAACAATCTTTTGGTTTAAGATAATGCAGCATACTAATACATAGTATTTGTTATCTTTGCAGCTTTCGATATAATACATTTACAACAACTGCGTGTTAAACTTTCCACCCCTTTTCTTCCCCTTGAAATCTCTCTCTTACTCTTACCATTTTAAACACAAATATCTTGATGATCGAATACAGTATTATGATAAGTACATAGGTCAGAAACTCTGGAACCACCCTTGCTATTAAAAGGGGCGTCATGACATTCTCGTTCAGCCAACTTTTCTTAGCATACGAGACCATGGGGTCTTTCACAAAGCACCAGTTTGAGGCGGAGTAGAGTGAGAAACCCAAACTATTAAACAGCAAAAGAGGGAAGGCTATGAGAATCGGCAGCCCCCAAGAAATTATGTGACAGTACGGGATCATTTTACTAGCGGCCCTGTTCTTTGCAAAAGAGATTGAGAGGAAGAGGTAAATGGCTAGAGCAGAATTCCAGCTGTAGGAGCTTAGCTGTGACCAGGTCGTGATGTAGCTCTGTATGGAGCAAATGGTGTCAAACGTGTTACAGTCTCCGCTTCCATTTGCAGAGGATAAATGAGTCAAGTAGTTGATGTCTCCCGCCATGTAGCCCATTGAAGTGACTAGGTCTGCTATGGATAGGAAAGTGATGATGGCCCGGGAGCCTGAACGTAGCTCCTTGAAGAATACATAGCTCAATATGATAGATAGGGATCCTAGGCAAGATAGGGCGCAAGAGACCAGCGACACATAAGTAGGAGTCGGCCCAAGATACAAGTTATACTGACTGTCTTCATTGCTTCCCGAACAGTTGATGCTGTATTGACTTGGACAGAGGACTTCTGCGCTGGTTAGCTCTATCTCTGGAGTTTTCCAAGAAGACATTTTAGAATTCAGAGTATCAGGCCATGCAAATAATTAGCCACACCTTTTAATAACTAAAATTAAACATTAATACATTCAACATTAATAATAATATTCATTATCCATCAGGCCTACATATTACATGTATTGTCACTGATGTGAAGGCTGTTTTCTATGATTGGTGTGTTTTCATCAATCTTCTCCTCAACATCAGGTGGAGGAGGACTAGAATGATAGATGACTTTCGTATCATCACAACTTGTAACTGTGCTCGTCCCAATGAAATTCCTTGTGCTTTGACCTTGCACTGACTTGCTGTGAGATCTCTTTCTTATAAAGAAGCGTAGACAGGAATAGAGAGGTCTAAGGATTAGCCTTTCTCTTATACTTGGAGACAGCCCAATATAAAGTATGGCATTACACCAGCCCTGACCTCCATCTCCAAATGACTATGGGAATGAGAAAGTGTTTGACAGAAGGATAAAATAAAGTCATGGCAAAAACATGAAGTCATGTTACATTTAAAAAGCACAAAGAAGCTATTTTATGCATGCATATATGCAAATGAATTGGTCACCTACTTGGAAAACTGCTAGGACTTTGTATGTGTAATAAACACCGTCTGGGACACATCCAGTCTTTGTATCCACTAAACTTTGCCCTCCATGGAACACAATGATTGAGAAGAAGAATTGCAAAGTTCCCCACATCCTTAGCAAAATGAATGCAACCGGTATCAGGAACAACTTAAACTCAATCTGCTTCATCGATTTCTTTGCCAGCATGTCCATGGCAAGTTCGGATTTATGCTGACCTTCACGCTAGAGAAAAAAAATTAAAAAAAAATAACATTGCATTACATAGATAAATTTTTAAAAAATTCTCATTAAAATTTTTTTTAGATAATTTTTTCTATTGTAGCTAGTAGGCACTAAAAATTTTTTGAGGTGATAATATTTAATTTAAAAAATTTTCATGTTAGGGAACTTTACTATTATCATTAACAGAAATGTTTGCATACCAATTTTCTCACTTTTCTCCTCACACGACATCTGATGTAGAAATACATTGCAATGATCCAGACGTATGTGAATATCTCAAACGCCTTTCCTCCGGCTAATATCTTAATTATGCTTACAGGAGAGAGTGAATATTTTACAAAACTGCTCTTCCCAACCTCAGAGTCTCCACCAATAAAGCACCAGCCTCCAGCAGCAAAAAGAGAGTAGCCCAGACTACCTGTGACCAGCAATGGGAACATCACTAATATTGGGCTGCCCCACGAGAGGACGTGGTAGAGCGGGAAATATTTTTCTACTTTTTTTGTTCCTCCTTTGACAATGGCAAAATAGAAAAAGAGGGCAAGGAGAAGCGTCCACCAAAACGACGAATAGGATGACCACGAAGAGATGTATGCCTGTATCTGGCATACTTCATCAAAACGAGTACAGGGTTCGCCTTTTCTGTGATTTTGCATGTGTTCCGTTTTTATATCATAAACAATGTAGTTGATGGATGCCATGATGTACCCAGAGGCTGTGAAGAAATCAGCAATGGCCAGATACGTTATGACCCTCCTCAGCCCTGTTCTAACATCCTTCCATAAAAGATAGGGCAGGATTGTTATGATTGATCCGACTACAGACAAAGAGCAAGAGGTGAGAGAGACGGCTAGAGGTCCTGTTCCAAAGTCTGGAAGTCTAAAATCGCTGTCGTTGCTGCACTTTTGTACATAGCTTCCAGGACAGTCCGGAAGCTCATGGCCATAGTAGTTAGTGCCCAAGATACCGTCATCTTCTTGAAGCATTTTGGCTGATCCAGTAGCCCTAGCAATGCTTTATTGCTTATCTGTGGTGTTGAGTAGCCACAAAATAACTGATAAACTTCTCCTCCTACTATATCTAGCGTTCTTTCTGAATAGTGCAGCTATTATTATTCTTACAAGAGTATGAATGGTTGTGCTATAAAAATGAACATACGAAAATGATGTTTCCCAAAAGCCACACAAATTAACCAAAAAAAATAAAACAACAATTCTCAGAATTAAATTTTTAAAATAAATAAAAGTGAAATGGTCACGTCTTCTCGCTTGCAATCAACGGCACCCTCTCTTCGTCTTCTTCCCTCGAAAACGTCTGAAGCAACGCGCTTGTTCCTTCTTGCTCTCCCTCCACTCCTCCTCGATTCTCCTTAGGACCTCCATCTTCCTCTCCGACATGCTGTACTGATACAAAGACACTCTTTGGCGAAGGAGAGTTCACGGGAGAGAGAGCGCTTGAATGCCGCGAAGTGGTGGGGAGTATCTGAGTTGCTACATGATAGCAGCAGTTGCTAAGTGGGTTTAATATAAGTCTCTGCCTGATTTTCGGGGACCAGAATATATAGAGGATACAGTTGACCCAACCTTGAGCACCATCTCCTATGCACTGTAAACAAAAGTTGTAGTAATAACATAGTATTGATAGTAAAAATGATAAGCTTTCAATTTGACTTATAAGCATAAAGTTACATAACAGTATAACATAAATAAAATAGGAATTTTATCAGTAATTAAAAATGGCTGTGTAAACTCATGGAGATATTATTGTTTTTGTGGTCACAGTAATCATCCACCACAAAGTCATATGCTATACCCAACTATCACATACATATCATATAATGTTGTACATGTAGTATTCCATTGGCTATATCATGTATTTCACTGTTTGGATGCTTTTACCTGGAGAATGGCAAGGGAGAAATAAAGGTCACGATATCCCTTTTCTATACAACCGTCCTGATTAACTTTACGAAAATTAAAAACAAATATGGATACTATGAATTGTATCGTTCCCCACATCCTCAATATGATAAAAGCAGCTGGAATGAAATAGAGCTTCTTTTGAATTTGTCTGAGAAGGACACTCACGCCGCCATTAATGCTTGTTGGAGTTTGATCTTTTTTCTATATAAAATGGATAAAAAAAAAACACCATCAATATTGTTTGTACATGTAACTAAACTTGGTAATACTAAAAATAGCAATGGCCTTTTCTTAGTACATTAAATGATACCTTTTTCCTAATATTACAGTGTATTGCCCCATACATCAACAGCACCCAGGCATATGTACCGATTTCGAAAGCTTTTCCACCTGCAAGTATTTTTACAATGTCTTCAAAGTCCAATTGTGCATATTGAAGTGACGAGTCGAAACGTGAACCTCTAATGAAGCACCACCCAGCAGCTGCAACGTAAGAATATCCCAAACTGTTTGTGACGAGTAGAGGAACCATTGCCAGCATAGGGCTTCCCCAAGAGAGAACGTGGTAAAGTGGGAAGTATCTCTCTCCTTTCTTTATGTCTCCCTTAACAACAGTCCAGTAGAGATACAGGGCAAGTATGGAGGTCCACCAGAAAGAGCTGTAAGATGCCCAGGAGGATATGTATGACTGGACCTCACAGATTTGGTCAAAATAATTACAAGCGGTGTTGATGCCAGCTGTTTTGCTGTTGTGCTTGTAAATGTAAAAGTTTATGTTACCCATGATGTAGCTGGCAGCCGTAAAGAAGTCCGCCACGGCAAGGAAAGTTATAATACGCCGTATACCTGTACGAGTGTCCTTCCACAGCAAGTATGGGAGGACAGTGATTAGAGAGCCAAGGAGGGAGAGAGAACAAGAGATGAAGGACACTATGGCGGGAGTGTCGCCATAATAAAGACTACTGTAATCACCACTACAGGTCCTGTTGGGCCGTGGACAGTAGATACTTTGCTTCATCAGCTCATGGAATGTATTCCACATCTCTTTCGTTTGCTTTCAACTTAGCACGTTGCTAATTTGCCAAAGGGCAGGGCTACTTATTATCACTAGCTAGTTATTAATCTATTAGTTATGCATGCACTCGTTGAATTGAAACAGACAGGTGGACGTGCAGATCAGACACTAGTCACGTGATATGGTGCAATCAAACTCTAGGTTGCATAGCAACACTTTGACGTAAGGCGGCAACACAAAACGAGGAAGAGAAGTACGAGGCAGCCATTGAGATCTCTCTCATTCTCTCTCTTTTGTCAGTTTTCCCTTTTACAAACTTATATCTGACTCTCTCTTTTTCTTTTACTAGGAAAAATAACAGTTGGAAAAAGACAGACAGGATCAGTTACAAGCTTGTATGTATAGAAGGAGCCATGACTTGTATAATGTTGGAGTACAGGATAATTAATGAGATAAGTTATTATACACACACAGTGTTACTGTATATGAGTGTGTGATGAATAATGGAGAGGAAAGTTTATCTAAGTGTCAGTTGGTAAAGACAATTAGCAAAGCAAGAGTGAGAAATACATGTAATGGGGAAAAACGAGTGGCTTTGCTTTTTGCCTTTTCACTGGCATTTTGGTAATGTTCTCACTTTATTCTTTCACACATTTGCATATTATTCATTATTATTTTTATGGGGTTATTTTTATTTATTATTATTATCAGAAATTAAATACATGACAAGTAAATTTACATTTTTTATTATTTTTAGGTTGATGTAGATTACTCAATGGATCAAGGGCAATTCTCTGTGATATCCATACCATATGTACATGTACATTTTCCTTATCTAACATATATAACCATTATATTTTCCTTTTCTTAAGATTTCTACACAGATTCAAGCCAGAGTGCAGATAGTCTTCTTCAATATCAAGCCTTCAGTGTATGGTAACAATGTATCTTTTGCTTGCTAATACCTTGATTACAGTGCTAATAATAAAATGGTTCATTTTACCGCTATTCACCCCATTACATGTACTAAAGCACTGTCCCTATTGATCCTTACTTATTCTATTGTTTAAGCGCTTTTCTGCTTTTATTCTACACAGGATGATGTTCTCTGGAGGGGCTCAGGATGAAGACTAAAGTTGGTTGAGTGTGAGGTAGAGTGAGAGTTAATAATGTATAATTGTGCATGTATATAATCCACATGTTCCACCCCTCTCTCCACCCCCCCCCCACTTTAGTAGGTTCTGACTGTTCTGGACCTGGATCTGGACTCAGGATCAAGCCTACTAAAGTTGGTTGAGTGTGAGGTAGTGGTGTGAGAGTTAATAATGTATATTATGTACATTACATAATCCACATGTTCCACCCTTCTCTCCCACTCCTCTCCCTTAGCTAGCTCGTCGGCTGTCTCCGGAACGGCTCTGGATGGTAAGGATTGATTGCATGCCCTTGCTCTGTTATTACATGTAATGGGGTGAATAGCGGTAAAATGAGCCTATTTTGGATAAAATGCAAAAAAAGAAAAAAAAGAATAGTAATAATAATAATAATAAAATTAATTAATTAAAATAATTCATTAAGAAATTAATTAATAATTAATAAGTAGGTGGAGCTAGTGGAATTATAACCACACCTCAAGCTCGCGAAACGTGTGGCCACGCCCCAACGTCAATACTAACCAGCCACACCTTCAAATCATAAAAGGAGGTGTGGCTATGTTTATTTGCATGCCACGCCCTACAAGCTTATCTTAATAACAGCTGAGCTGAAATGGATGACCTTTTGGATGTCTTCCAAGAATCTTTCTCCGTTGCTTCTGATCCTCTGGACACTTCTCGTTTCTACCCATCACATGCTGCTCTCTATAAAGCCAAGAGAGAAGGATACGGGGACCAGGAATCCAGGAGAAGGAAAGCTCTGGCCGAGCAGTCCCAGAGAAGAAAGAACTTCCTTGATCACTCTAGACGGATAGCAGAGGGAGAGCCAGTGGACGATGATGAAGATGAAATGGATGAAGGAGGTCAGAGCAATATTAATGTTCATGCATACCTAACTTTATTAAAATATTTAAAAAATTTTCATTTTAAATTGCTATTTTTAATTAAATTTTTCTAATTTTAGGATACGACGAAGTCGACTCGGCCTCAGCTCGTCCCAAACGTTCTGCCCCTTACAGGAACCAGCTCATGCTGTCCGAGTGGCTCGTTGACGTCCCACCCGATCTCAGCGACAACTGGTACTTGGTCGTATGCCCGATTGCTAAACGATGCTTGGTAGTTGCCGCAAGAGGAGTAACAACAGTGTATTCTCGCACCGGACACTATATTAGTTCCTTTCCTTCTCATATTCCTGGTGGCTGCAAGAAGAGTGGACCCAAGTCGTCCGAGTACTCCATTTTAGATTGTTTTTATGATTCTCAAAGTTCAACCTACTACATTCTTGATCTAATGTGTTGGAAAGGCCACCCAATATACGACAGTGAGGCTGAGTTCAGATTCTACTGGTTGGAATCAAAACTGAGTGAGTGCGATTTCGATCTCTCTCGTCAAACCCGTACTAACCCGTACAAATTTGTGTCGCTGAAGCGTCATGATTGCTCACCAGAATCAATCACTAGGATACTTTCTTTGCCTTCTCCTTATCCTGTTGATGGCTTCCTGTTCTTTCACAAAAAAGCTAATTATTCCTTGGGTCGTACGCCACTTGCTCTATGGCTAAAGCCTCACATGATTCCAGAGGTTTTGGGTATTTCAGTTTCTCAAGAGTTTTTAGACTGTTGCCCCGTCATTGACTCGAGATCAAAGAAAATGGAGACAGAGAAAGGAGGAGGGGGGAAGATGGAAATTGAGAAGGAAGGTGGAGGCAAAGTAGAGAAAGGAAAGAGAATAAAGAAAATGGAAGAGGGAAAAAAGGCAGAAGATTGCTCTAGAATGGAGGACACGATGAATGAAAGTTAGAGATGTGACAATTACTTAGCAAAATCAAGCACACTACGACAACCACCCAGTAGTAATGGTAATAATAATATAAAAAAATTATGTCTATTGTCAAAAAATTAAAATATATTTCTAAAAAAATCACATTATGTCAAATCTCAGATTAAGTGTTCACTACTGGTTTCTCATCCATCACTGCCATTGCTGTACCCTTGATACTTGTATGATCATACGTTCCCTCAATATCGATATCCTCAACATGGTTATTGGTATAAATTATCTTCAGTTTTCCTTCAAAAGGTACGCATAGCTCTGCTTGTATTCCTTGGATTTGAAGGATCACTCTGCAAGATGGTGGGACAGCAAGAGTACATGATTCTTGACCTGCTGTGTTCTCAATTTGGAGACAATTAGCAAGTGGCATTGTGATAAGAGTTGGTACAAACATGCCAGATAAATTTGGAGACGAATATTGACCTGGGTTTACGACGCCGCCAAAAACTGCATTATCAATACCTTAACATAAAAAATTATATATTTTAGAGGAAGTAATTACGTCTTTATTTACCTCCTCGTCCAGTCGGAAGTAGGTTCAGAAACCTCTGCCCATCAAGCAGGTGGAGACGATGGCTTTTATTGCCTCCAAAAACTGTGGGAACAGGTCCCTTTATCTGCACCTGTAATATTATATTGAAAAGTATCGATACACTTGGCTTCATGTTTATGCCCATTAGAAAAGTGTTGTGTAGTATATGCATCAAGGTTTTCCATGGGATTTTGAGTGCTTACATCTAGCTTCTTGTCAATGGATTGTTAAGTTGCTCAAAAATTGGACCAAAGTCTGTGTACTAAAGTACAGGAATTTTGGCCAAATTTCATCAAAACGACAAGGAGAGAATTGTCCAATTTTATAACTTTTTTTGATGCATATACATGTACTTATGTTGTGTTGAAAGTTTGAACTGATTCTGATCAAGTTTGGATTTTTTACAAATTTTTTAAATTTACTCAAAAATTGGGCCAAAGTCCCTGTAAAAAACCATTGCAGTATTTATACATATTATACCTCTGTGTTTCCAATTATGTCAGATCCATTGACCGTCCATTTAAATGTAGTGGGAATCCCTGGCTGGTGGCTAGAGGACATCTTCTGCTTTACGGAACTCTTATTGACAAGGGCAGCCTTCTCAAGCGGAACCTGAGACCATTTTATAAAAGCGTTCTCCATTTTGTACTTTATATCATACAGGAAGACATCTTTTGCTTTTGCTGTTTCATCTTTTTTCGTGACACAGAGAATTTCGAAAAAATTAATAGAAGGAGAAGCTACACCTTCATTTTCAGTGTACACTAATGCATTAGAATGTACTGCTCCAGGAACAATGTCACCAGTAGCGTGACTACACGTACGACCAATGAATAGAGAAGAGCCATTGTTGGCATAGCCAGCCTCCAATGCATTAACTGGGACAATGTTCCTTATAATAGAAGATAAACCAAACCCTTGATTGAAATGCAAGTAGACCCACGAGAGAGTCTCAGCTTTATTTGGATTCACAAGAACCTTGTAGTTTGGATTCGTACCAACTTGCATTTGATTTCCACCTCCTAAGTAGAAGTTTCCCCTCCTCCTTTGATCAATCATCTTGGACACGAAGTAGAATAATTTCTTGCTAGGCAGGACATAGCCAGGATAGACACCACCTGTGCTAGCATCCTTAGCTCTTGCTATGTAATAATGCTCTTGAGTTGAGCTACACCATCCTCCTTCAACAGCATCTTCTGGTATGCTGCCATTGCTACCTGCAACCCATTCCAAGATGTCTGATGTAACACCTTTTGCTTCTTTGGGCCCGTTTGCTTGATTATTGGCTCCTTGCTGTGGCTGCTGCTGCCCAAAATATTGTTGTGGCAGTTGTTGTTGTTGAAAGAGACCACCACCTCCTTGTTGTTGTTGTAAACCTAAGCCTTGTTGTTGTTGTTGTTGTAAACCAAAGCCTTGTTGTTGTTGTTGTAAACCAAAGCCTTGTTGTTGTTGTTGTGGCTGTTGTTGTGCAGTACTACCAAAGAAACCACCACCACTTCCACCAAAGGTAGTCTGGGCTCCAGTCTGAGCAGTTTGGCCTCCAAAGCTAAAGGGTGTGTTGAATGGACCTTGTTGAGAACTGGACTCAGTAGATTGGGTTCCAGACATTTTCACTACAAGCCCCGCCTATAATTGATTCCGTGTATTATTAGTAAAATTGAAATTGATAGAATTTTATACACGAAGGAATGAAAAATCGCTCGTTTTCCATTTTCCGTATATTGGCAATATAAAATATACGGAAAATTGATAAATGAGTGGTTTTTCGTTCCTTCGTGTATAAAATTGTATCGATTTCAATTTTACAAATAATATACGGAATTACAACATCATCAAGACACCAACATGGCGATTGATTGCCCAAAGAATTGCTGCGACAAGCTTGCTACTACCACTTCCTATTATTCATCCTACGCTACTCTCCTCTCCTCACTTCTCTCTATCTTTGGAAGCTGTCTGATCATTTTAACGTTCATACTGTGGAGGGACGTGAGAAGATCCACTGCAAGGATAATACTCTTCTTTCTCGCTCTTGCTGACCTTGGCACTGGACTGAGCTACCTAGTCTCTTCTGCTGGTTTTATAGCTCACTACAATCTCATTAAGTCTTCCGGTCCTAATGATACTCATCCTGGTTTCAATTATTCTAAATTTTGCACCGTAACAAGTTTTTTTACTACATTCTTTCCTGTCTCTTCCTTCTTTTGGACAGTCTACCTTGCAATCTACTTCTTCATAATCCTAGTCATGAAGAAACCAAGATGGAGTCGCAAATTGATAATCTTTTTCAACCTCACCGCTTGGCCGATACCTTTCCTCATATGTATCTTCACTGTCTCATTCGGTATACTTGGAGCAAGTACTGTTAACAACACCATCGGCGATCATCGTAATACTGCTGGCTGGTGTTTTGTGTCGATAAATGGTACAAAGGGCTATCATTATAGTTATGGAGTGTATCTAGCCTGGGAGGCACTGTGTGCTAAAGGATGGGAGTTGCTGTTCTTTTGTATTGTCATTATCTCTTATTCTACCATTTACTGTGTACATAGTAATATTGTGAGAGTAAGTATTACCATTAGTTTTACTATACTGTATAATTTACTATAGTACACCTGTATTGATTTGATATAGTTTATCATAACAGTCACATTGACTGGGGAGGCCTTTAGTGTACTCTTTCTAATCACTAATCAATACATTGTTCACTTATGATTATAATTTTTAATTGATGATTAAAACTATTGCATTTTAGAAATTATGGAAGAAGCTAAAGAAATCTGATGACTCAGAAGAGTCTCAAATATCCTCAAGTCCTACGTTTTCATCTCGAATTGATTGGAAGTTGTTCGTTATTCCGATTGTTTTCATAGCACTCAGAGCTCCTGGTACTTATAGATACTTCCTCTCAATGTCTGAGGCTTGCGGGCCAGATAATAATACAACTTTTACTGATTCGAATACCGGTTGTGGAGTGAATGAAGAATGCTTTAAGCTTGGTTATAATTACTACTTCATATATATACAGGTGGGAAAGAAAGTGAAAATAATTATGTCTTTATCTGTCTTTTTTTCAGGCAATTTTTGGTCCACTCCAAGGCTTTGGAAATGCTATACTCTTTGTTTTCTTATCTAAAGTAATAATGAGGCGACTTCAAGTCCTAATATGCAGCTGCTGCGGTTATAGAAACTTGAGATCGAGAGAGCCAATGAACAGTACAGTATTTAGCAATAATGCTGAACCACCAAGCAGTGGCAAGAGTACACCACAGAATATAACTAAGGAGCATCACCACTTCTATGTAAAATACAGTCCTAATACAGGAAAGAAAAGTAATGCAGCGTCACCTACAGCACGGTGGGAGGATAGTATGGATGAGAGTGGATCTGAGAGCATCAACAGTGCAATGTCAGCTAAGATACTCTACGGATCAACTGTTGTTACCAGTTAAGGAACACAATTCCATGTATTTTTTGTGTGAATTTTTTTGTTTTTTTGAATGCATGATGCATGCATTGATTGAGTGTACTTCCCCATATCCTTATGCACTTTAAAATTTGTGTGGACTTTGATTGAAAGAATTTTATTTTTGTCTAGTAGATTAGATTCATAGCTATGTGAAAGGGGGGCGTCTCTCACACCATCTCCCATGCTTCTCCCTTCGTTCCAAAATGACAAACTGCACTATTGAGTTCGTCTCTTCCTTTCTGACTCTGGCCTCTTCTTCCCTCTCCATCTTTGGAAGCTGTCTCATCATTCTAACGTTCATACTATGGAAGGACGTCCGGAGCTCCACAGCAAGGATAATTGTGTTTTTTCTCGCCATTGCTGACCTTGGCACAGGGCTGAGCTTCTTTGTCTCGTCCGCCGGCTACATCTCCTATTACTCAGAGGACGACCTTCTTATTAACTCTTCATACAATAGTTTCTGCTCGATCATGAGCTATTTTACAACTTTCTTTCCCGTCTCCTCTTTCTTTTGGACGGCCTACCTGGCCCTCTACTTTGTCATTGCACTGGTTTTCAAGAAGCCAAGATGGAGTGGGAAATTAATAATTTTGTTCAATCTGACAGCTTGGAGCATCCCTTTTGCTATATGCACGACTGCTATTGCATTCGGTGTCCTGGGGAACTCAGATTCCCGCACTTCAGGAGGATGGTGCTTTGTGACTTTTCATGGTGCTGGAAGATTCAATAATTACTCATATGGAACTTACCTATGGCTTGAAGCTGTTTGTGGGAAAGGCTGGGAGCTCTTGTTTTATGTTGTCGTTGTTTTCTGTTATTCAACAATTTATTGGGTCAATAGAAAACTCTGCTGTAAAAGCAGTAATGCAAATAAAGTACGTAATTAATAATATTGAAAAGCATTATAATGTACATGTCACTTATTATGCATCGTTCATGCATGGATTAGAATGTTGGCTTTTCTTCATAATGTACATGGGTGGAATTTCTTAGAATTTAGGGGCTCTCCATGCATGCTTGATAAGAGATAACAGTTTTATAAGAATAACAGTAACTATGAATAACTTTGAATCATTCCTTCTTTTATCTATGCATAGATACAGAGTGCCTATCCACCTCTCATAGAGAAGGAGAGTGATAGCTATATCAGAGTCTCGCAGAGGGCATCAAGTCAAGCTGCTCTTTCTCAAGCAATATCAAAGAAACTATTCATTATTCCAGTAGTCTTTGTATTTCTGAGGGCACCTGGCACTTACAGATACTTTCTATCAATGGACCCGTACCATTGCCGTGACAGCGATGATGACTATGATAATTTCACTAGCAACTATTGCGGTGTAACAGAAAAATGCTTTAGATTCGGTGGGAACTACTATATACTACCATTGCAGGTAAAAATGATAGCATCATGGCTTTATTTTAAATCTTAGCATTATGAGTATTTTAATAGCAACTAAACTTAATCTATTGTTTTATTTTAAAGGCCTTTTGCGATCCACTTCAAGGCTTTGGAAATGCTGTCCTATTCGTTTTCTTTTCTCGTGTTATCATGAGACGTTTGTCCTATTCTATACACAAGAAGTTTCACTTGATCAAATACCATTGTACACGATTCTGCAATGGAGAAGAAGCCACAGATGATGCTCCTACTGCAAGTCTGAAGACAAAGAATAGTCCAGCAATTGTTAGAGCTCAAGTTCAACAAAGTTCTGAATATGATACTCAGCTTGATGATGATGAGTATCATACTAGTCTGGGTTCTGTGTCTCCTCACATGCAGTATGGATCTGTCGTGTCTGATAATGACACCATAACAAACTCCATAAATCAATAAAATAATAATGACAAGAGTAAAAATGATGCTATATTTTTAATAAAAAGTTTTTTCCTGTATTGTTGTGTAGTACGAAAGGATTGCTTAGCTCAAAAGTCAAAACTATTAAATGTTAACAAGATAATAACAATGTAATGTCTAGTTTAGTGGTAGTTCTTTGGTAAATCTAGCCCTCTTCTTACAACTTTCATCTCCAAATTGTTAATAACATCAATGGTTTTAGATAAAGTTTTATGTTCAGTCCATCTGGCGACTGCTTCTTCTTTCTGGATCTCTTTCATCATTATTTCTCGTAGTTTCTGGAGTGATTCGTTTTTCTTGTGTACTCGCTTCCTTTCTTTTTGGTTTTTTAGCTCTTTGACACAAACACTCATTTTACGAATCTGCACTGCAGCTGATTATTGTTTTGAGGTGGAGCTTGGGCACGTGCCACGTGCACGCACGTGGATGGGATAAGAGCTGTTTCACACTAGCTAAGTTTCAGCTTTTATGGACATTTCTTTGCTTGCTTAGGCACTAGCCCCCTTAACTAATGGTTTACATTCGTGTAATAAACAAAATATGTCATCCACACTAAAAACAAAAGTCTTAAAAGATTCAAATGACATAAAGACCTAATACATAATATGGTGTATATGATACATAGTATTATTGGTCTAGTACTAGTTTTTGGATAACTGGGGTAACTTTAATCCCTTCTTTGTACAAATTGATTCCAAATGATTTATCACTTCTATTGTTTTTGTTAAGGTTCTGTGTTCCGTCCATCTTGCCACAAATTCTTCCTCCTGGTGTATCTCTTTTAATATGGCCAGATTTTTTTCACGTAACCTGTTAAGTGATTCGTTCTTTGTAAACACTCTCTTCCTCTCCTTTTGGTTCTTGAACTCGTTCCCTCTGTTCGCACTCATTTTCTCGCAGCAGCTGATAATTGTTTTGAGGCGGGGCTGGTACACGTGCAAACACGTGGGTGCTAGATCTAGCTAGAAATAATTGCTTGGGTGGAGCTGAATCAGTACAAGCTTACTATAACAAGCTATAATTAAAGCTTTGTTCATTCCAGGGCTATACAGTGACATGAACCCGCTTTTCTTTGCTATTCTTCTTGCTCTCCTCCATTCCTCTGCAAGTGAGAGCTACTACGTGAGTGAGGAATGCCCAGAATCAGTCCCAAAACCATGCAACTCCCTGTCAGGATATCTTGAAGACTTCTCTGATCCGATCCCGGACAGCACTGTATTATATTTTACGGAAGGTAATCACACCCTGGATGGTATTCTCTCTCTGCATTATATAAGTAATTTCACTATGCAAGGTATTGGGAGTGCGAGTACTGTTAGAATACACTGTACAGAGGAAGGTGGGATCTACATTTTAGGGGGAAATCTTGTTACTTTTAAAGAAATATCATTTCACAACTATATGGAAGTTGGTGAGGCTTACGGAATAACTGTTGTGGACTCGATCAATCTAGTCTTTACCAAATTTTCTGTCCATGGCTCACACTTATTCTTCAACAATAGTCTCAATGTATTGGTTTCTTTTTCAACTTTTCATAACTCTGACGCCACATTTGAGTATGACATAGTAGAGAGAAATGAATCTGATGACATCCCATCCTATTATCTCAATGTGACTGATGTGCATGTAAATGCTCTCACTCCAGAATCTGGGATCTTCCTTTTAATGTACAACGGAGATTCATACTTCTTGAGAATAACCTTTAATAACATTGTTATAGTTGGAAGTAGGCTCTCAAACAACTCTGCCATTGATTTATGGTATTCTCTTTACACTTTATGCATTAACAACATGACAAGCAGTGGTGGCTATTCTGGGACTGGAATTGTATTACACGTTGACACTGGCAATGCTCCTTTCAATAGAAATGAACTTGGCATTGAGTTTTTAGGAAACAGTGCACTAGGTGACGTATATGAGATTGCTGTGATAGAAAACTCTCGGTTTTATAATAATCGCTATGGAGTTGTTATCATTGGATCACTTGATTCTCCTTTCGACAGCAGGGATGCCATACATATCAAATCATGTGACATCAGTGACAACACCGTATCTGGATTTTTGGTAGTCTTTGATGATGGTGTCACAGCTGCAGCAGATTCTATCATTACTGTAGGTTTATCCAATTCAGTCCTTCGTAATAATGATAGGAACATTATTGGTAATATTAATACAGCTTTTTTTGTTAACGTTACAATCACTGGGACTCGAAATTCAGGACTTACGCTAGAAAGTGCTCACATTTTTATTATTGGTAACCTTAACTTCATCAATAACAGAGGAGAAAATGGTGGAGCATTGGTACTACATCAAAACAGTCGTTTAGTATTGCACGAAGGCTCCATTGTTAATGTAACTGGGAATCGTGCTACAGTGAAAGGAGGCGGAATTTATAATGATGTTGTGGTCCAAAGTACATTAGAGGCTTTGGCTCTGTACCTCCAAGTTGATGCTACTTACTACTTTAGTAACAATTCTGCAGGCGTTGTTGGACACGATATATATAACATACCTACTATCTGTCTCTATTACAGTTGCACATCTTCACTTGGAAATAATGCTGTGAGACAGTCAACAGATTCCTTAGAATTATGTTATTGCAATGAAAGCATCGATTACCATCTATCATTCAATCATACGAGAGATTGCTTTAAAACTATACCAAAGCAGTATCTATTCCCAGGGCAGAGGGTCAAGTTCTCTATATTAATGCTTGGTTTTGATACTAACTTGCAATTCAACTCTATTACTGATGGCACAATACGTGCAGCATTAAATGGTGATCCTGCTACAAGTGAAGATTTTTCCATTGACCCTAAATGCTCTACAAGGTATTACACTTATAGTTCTGAGAGTCAGAATGTGACTGAAAATGAAATGGCTATCCTGATAAATTATGAGAACATTGTTTCTGAATTGCTCCAACCAAATGTGGTTCTTAGGTTAAATTTCACAGTCAATCCCTGCCCCATAGGATTCAGTCTCTCCAATGGAAAGTGCAACTGCAGCAGTGGACTGAGACAGAATAACATATCATGTGACATTAATACTCTCTCAATCACTCATCAAGGCCAGTTCTGGATAGGAAGCTACTACCCAATTGCTAATGCTAGCCATGCAGAGCCTGAAAGCTGCATAATTGGTGAGTCATGCTTTATTTTTTGCTCACGTGACAGTGTTACATTTACATTGAATGACACTGATGCACAATGTGTCAATAATAGGTCAGGGAGACTCTGTGGTGGCTGCAGAGATGGTTATAGTCTTCTTATGGGTTCAAATAATTGCGGGAAATGCAATAACAGTTTAATATTGTTAGGCTGGATTCCTTTATTTGGCATTATGGGTATACTACTGGTTGTGATGCTAATTGTTCTCAATTTAACAGTATCAGTGGGTACACTGAACGGCCTATTGTTCTATGCCAATGTTATTAAGTTGTATGAGCCAGTGCTGTCGCCAGAAGGAGTTGCACCAGTTCTACACCAAATACTCTCATGGATCAACTTAGACTTTGGAGTTGAGACCTGCCTATACAACGGAATGGATAGGTATGCCAAGGAATGGCTTCAGTTTTTGTTCCCTGCATATTTGTGGCTAATTATCATAGTCATTATAATGCTAGGGAAATGTGACAACAGGATATCAAGGCTGGTCAGCACCACAAGGAATGCTGTCCCTGTACTGGCTACTCTCATGCTTCTATCTTATACAAAAATAGTCCGCACTTGTATTTTCATTTTACAGCGACGAAGTGTCACTCTTCATTGCACTAATGATAGCACCAGGTCCATTTCACTGTGGTTTGAGGATCCTACTGTACATTACGGTGCAGGGAAGCATGGAGCATTGCTCACATTGGCTTTACTTGTCATTGTTTTCTTTATCGTCCCTTATACGATATTCCTCCTCTTTAATCAGCTCATTGAAAAGTATCTATCCGGCTGCAGAGGTTTCAGTCGAATTTGGAATCACCTAAAGCCAGTCATTGATGCTTATTGCGGTCCATTGAAAGACAACTATCGTTTCTGGCCTGGCCTGTTTGTAGCATCACGACTTCCTGTACTGGTGTATAGCAGCTTTGTGAATGACTATAATACTAACAGGGCTCATTTATTGAGTGGGATTTTAACAGTAGTTGTGATACTGCTCACATTGGCTTATTCGTTGGGAGGAGTGTATAGAAAGGGTCTTAATAATTTCATAGAGGCATGGTTTTTGCTCAATTTGAGCATGGTGATAGCCTTTACCTTTGCTTTTGCTAGTGATGAGGGATCGAGCAATTGGTTTAATGTATGGCTCATTGTTTTTGAGCTCAGTTTTGTAATAGTCATCATCTATCATGTGTACCTAAAACTGAGATCAACCAAATGGTTTGAAGATGCTATGGAAAAACTAAATGCATATAAAAAGAAGGTTTTAAAGGAGAAAGTTCCAGCTGCTGATACTACAGTTCCAACAATTGAACTTGAAGAAAAGGAAACTTTTGAAGCAGTAATTTCAAGTTCTCGGAGAATGGTAACTAGCAGTATTGTGGACCTGGACCATTGTGATAGAGAATCTGTTGTCGATTTATTTACTGAGTAATTAGTGCTTGCAAAAGTACATGTGTTTGTTATTTTAATTTTTTCATTAAATATTATTAAAAATAAACTCATGAATGCAGCCAAAAGTGCTGGAAGTGGGAGGGGCTGGATCTGCAAAATAGGTGTGGTCAGGTTAATAATAATCGGTTTAGGAAACCTCCGGATACTACTCCAACCACGTGTAATCTTTAGTGCTGCACATGCTTGTTGCTTGCTGCAATGTCGAGAAGGCCAGCTCAGTTAGTGCTAGAAGATGGGACGGTCTACTCGGGCTGGGGGTTTGGAGCTCAAAGAGACACTCCAGGGGAAGTCGGTAAGTCCTGGCATGTAGCCCAAGCTCCTTATTGATCGCCATCTTTATATTCACACCTCAATATGCAGTGTTCCAGACTGGAATGGTCGGATACGTGGAATCATTGACTGACCCGTCTTACAGAGGACAGATACTGGTATTGACCTATCCACTGATTGGTAACTATGGAGTACCTGGCAAGGAAAAGGTAAACGATGGAGAAGTAATAAAAGGGGCGGGTCTAATTACTTGTTAATTAATATTAGCTAATTAAATATTTATTAGTTGTTAATTAATTATAGGACGAGCACGGATTATTAAAAACATTCGAATCTTACATGATACATGCAAGTGCACTGATAGTCGGTGACTACACTGAGCAGTACAGTCACTGGGAGGCAGAGCTTTCTTTGGGGGAGTGGCTCAAGCAAGAAAACATTCCAGGGATTTATGGTACATAAACTACATATGTACATGTTGACCTTTGACCTTTTACAGGTGTTGATACTCGCTCCTTGACACAGAAGATAAGGGAGCATGGTACCATGATGGGATATGTGGTGGGCATTAGCGAGGGGAACGGGTTCGCTGAGGGGGAGAAATTTGAAGATCCCAACAAAAGAAATTTAGTAAAAGAAGTTTCAATTGAGGTACAGTGAAGAATTAATGTGTAAATTTTATTTCTCCTCTCTCCCTTTCTCTTTTCCTTTACAGTCTCCTGTTACATATAATCCTGGTTCTAATAGATTACGCATCCTTGCGGTCGATGTTGGTATCAAGTATAATCAAATTAGGTGCTTGGTATCTCGTGGGGCGAGCGTAACTGTCGTACCCTGGGATTATAACTTTAATGATGACGGTATGAAAAATGAATATTATTACTTGTAAATGTACAATGTATTTGAATCAAGTTAAAGGAGCTTCATTATGATGCTAGAAAACCCCACCAGATAGTAATACTTGTGTATCATTTTAATTTTTTTCTTTTAGACTTTGATGGTCTTTTTCTTAGCAATGGTCCTGGGAACCCTAGGATGTGTTCCGAGACTATTAAAAATCTCCAGACCCTACTAAGAAAACCAGCTCCCCCTGGGGGCCACAGAGTACCAGTGTTTGGTATATGTTTAGGGCATCAGCTTCTCTCACTAGCAGCTGGAACAACCTCTTACAAAATGAAGTGAATAATAATACACATCTTAAATTGAATGCTGTATTCCTTCCTTTTAAAGGTATGGTAACCGTGGTCACAATCTTCCCTGCATTCACCCACCCTCCGGTCGCTGCTTTATCACGACACAGAATCATGGATTCGCCGTCACCGATAGCAACCTACCTCCTGATTGGTCGATACTTTTCACTAATGCTAATGATAATTCTAACGAAGGTCTCGTCCACAAGAGGGATCCTTACTTCAGTGTTCAGTTTCATCCGGAGCATATGGGAGGACCAAGGGATCTGGAGGGTCTCTTTGACGTGTTTCTTGATGCTTGTAAGGAGAGGAAGAACAGACAGGGTGGAGTCCCACTCCGTGAGAAACTGGACGAGTTTCTTGGGTCACTAGGAAACTCTCCATTAGGCGGGTCAGTACCTAACGGAGTACCAGCACCAATAAGAATGACTAGGGACAATCTGAAGAAAGTGAGTGGGTGATCCTTAGCATTATACATGTACATGTACAATGTATGTATTGTAATGTATGTGTAGTATAAGTATAAGTATATATATGTAATATTATGTACTGTACTATGTGCATGATGTTCTACATTTTCATGTACATGTATTCTGTAGGTCCTGATATTGGGATCTGGTGGTTTATCAATTGGTCAAGCTGGAGAATTTGACTATTCTGGATCTCAAGTAATAGCATTATAATGTACATGTACATGTGCATGTATTTTCTCTCTCTCTCTCTCTTCTTTAGGCTATAAAGGCACTGAGAGAGGAAGGGATCAGAAGTGTGTTGATTAATCCGAACATCGCTACCGTTCAGACATCTAAAGGACTCGCTGATAAAGTTTATTTTTTACCAATCACTCCAGATTATGTTACTCAGGTAAGATGCATTGTATCATTATGATTATAATAGTTATTAATATGATACTATTGTTAATCAATTTTAAATCAAATCAGTGTTAGTATCAGTATCAGTGTTAGAATCAGTATCAATTTTAATACAGGTAATTCGTAATGAGAGGCCTGATGGTATACTGCTTTCATTCGGTGGTCAAACAGCTCTCAATTGTGGAGTTAAACTAGAAAAAGCCGGAGTATTATCTCAATACAACATTAAAGTATTAGGTACTCCAGCTAAAGCAGTAGAGCTGACTGAAGACAGACAGTTATTTGCGGAAGAGCTCAAGAAGATTAATGAACCAGTAGCGCCCAGCAGAGCTGCTTATTCAGTGCAGGAGGTATGATCACGTGATGGTCATGTGATAGTGTCATGTGATGTGTGTAATAGGCTGTTAAAGCTGGAGAGGTTTTGGGTTATCCTGTACTAGTGAGAGCTGCTTATGCTCTGGGTGGGTTGGGATCTGGGTTTGCTTCTAACGTACAAGAACTGGAGACTTTGGTGTCCGCAGCCTTCGCACATACTAGCCAGGTAAGGATTGTTTATACAATTATTGAAAATAAAAAAGTCCATTAACAGAATTGTTTTTAATGCTCATAATTTTAAAGCCAATTTTTTTGGGAAATTCCATGTGCTATAGCCTTTGCTTTTTTCCCTAAAAATTAATTGGCTTGTTTTTAAATTGCTCATAACTCGAAAAATATTTGTCCAAAACAAGCTCAAACTTGCTATATAGCATAAGTACATCAATATGTATCAGAAAATGTAATAAAAATTTGGGGTGATTTTGGAGCCATTTTTTTGAAAAAAACCATGGGCTATAATACAGGGATTTTTTCAGATTTTGTCTCGTTTTTTAAAGTGGCCGTAACTCAAAAAATTGAAGTCGGAATCAGCTCAAACTTTCTACACAGCATAAGTACATCAATATGTATCAGAAAATGTAATAAAAATTGAAGGTGATTTTTTTAGCCATTTTTTGGAAAAAAAACCCTGGGCTATAGTACAGGGATTTTTTCAGATTTTGGCTCATTTTTTAAAACGGCCGTAACTTGAAAAATTGAAGTCGGAATCAGCTCAAACTTTCTACACAGCATAAGTACATCAATATGTATAAGAAAATATAGTAAAAATTGGAGGTGATTTTTTGGCCATTTTTCGGAAAAAACCATGGGCTATATATAGTACAGGGATTTTTTCAGATTTTGGCCTATTTTTTAAAATGGCCGTAACTTGAAAAATTGAAGTCGGAATCAGCTCAAACTTTCTACACAGCATAAGGACATCAATATGTATCAGAAAATGTAATAAAAATTAGGGGTAATTTTGGAGCCATTTTTTGGAAAAAACCATGGGCTATAGTACAGGGATTTTTTTCAGATTTTGGCCTATTTTTTAAAATGGCCGTAACTTGAAAAATTGAAGTCGGAATCAGCTCAAACCTTCTATACAGCATAAGGACATCAATATGTATCAGAAAATGTAATAAAAATTGGGGGGTGATTTTTTGGCCATTTTTTGGAAAAAAACCATACATGTATACATAGAAATCACATTTCCTCATATCTCGTCAGGTTCTCATTGATAAGAGTCTGAAGGGATGGAAAGAAGTCGAGTATGAAGTCGTTAGAGATGCATATGATAACTGCATCACCGTAAGACACAACTAAATTTTTTAAAAATATTTTAATATTTAAAAAAATTATATCTTCTAGGTATGCAATATGGAGAATCTAGATCCCCTTGGTATCCATACAGGTGAGTCCATTGTGGTTGCTCCATCTCAGACGCTGACCAATAACGAGTATAACCTATTGAGATCCGTTGCCATTAAAACCGTACGTCACCTTGGGGTCATCGGAGAATGCAACATACAATATGCCCTGAGTCCCGACTCTAGACAGGTAAGGACACACCCACTATAAGACACACCCATTTATACATTACATGTACATCTATTTTTCATTAAAATATATGTAAAACCTTTATTTCTAAATTTTATTTTTATTATATTATTTATTATTTTGTGATTGGTTTTTTTCTCTCTCTCTAGTATTACATCATTGAGGTGAATGCTCGTCTCTCCCGTAGCTCTGCCCTTGCTTCAAAGGCCACTGGGTATCCCCTCGCTTACGTTGCTGCTAAACTAGCACTGGGACGCCCCCTGCCGGAACTAAGGAACTCAGTTACCACAGCAACTACGGCTTGTTTTGAACCATCCCTGGATTATGTCGTTGTGAAAGTAAGTGCTCGGATACATGTATTGCCTACATGTTATGTTTTTGGTGCTTTTTCGATTAGCTGGTGTTTTCACTGTTTTTGTTATTGTTATAGATACCGCGTTGGGATCTTTCCAAGTTTACCCACGTCAGCACTGAGATTGGTAGCAGCATGAAGAGCGTTGGAGAAGTTATGGCAGTTGGAAGAAAGTGAGCTCAGATTGTAAGATGTTTAAATTATTTTATGATTATTATTATTTTTAAGATTTGAGGAGGCACTGCAGAAAGCACTAAGAATGGTCAATGAGTCTTGCCTTGGATTTGATCCTAAATTCTTACAACTTAGAAAAGAAGTAAATCTTTATTATTTTATTATCATTTATTATTAATTATATTTGTCACAGGATCTCAATCATCCGACTGACAAGCGTATTTTTACAGTAGCAGCTGCACTGGACTCTGGTTATTCCATTGACGAGTTATACCAGTTAACACGAATTGACAAATGGTTCCTTTACAAAATGAAGAATATCATTGACTGTAACAACATGCTAGGAAAACACGATCAACAGGTATAGGCAGTAATAAAGAAAGCCAAGAACTACACGTAACTTAAAGTTATTGCTTTGCTTGCTTAGGTTTACCCCTTAATTTTTACCTCCATTTAGTTATTGTTTTATTAATTTTTTATTTTCCAGACGCTCAATAAAGAAATGCTATTATATTCAAAGCAGCTGGGTTTTTCCGACCGTCAGATTGCTCGTTCTATAAATTCAACAGAGCTAGCCATCAGAGGACTCCGTAAATCTCTCTCGGTCACTCCCTCCATCAAACAAATAGACACAGTTGCTGCTGAGTACCCCGCCCACACTAATTACCTATACTTGACTTATAATGGGGAAACGAATGATCTGGACTTTCCTGGTTAGTAGCACCTGTAAAATCCACATTTATTATCATGTACTAATTTTAGCAAATTTAGCAAGAGATTTTAAAAGATACTATGCATAAATTATTAGCATCATTAATAGTTAAAGAATTATACCAACATTATTAAAAGTTTCCCACCCAATGTTTAATAAAAAACCACCACAATTGGCACATGTGTACGTTTTATGTGCTATTAAAATGGGCTTCATTATACTGTATTTATATTATGATGTGTTATTTTATACATGCATTATGTGTAGGTGGGGCTATCATGGTACTTGGGTCTGGAGTGTACAGGATTGGTAGTTCAGTTGAGTTTGATTCTTGTGCTGTGGGTTGCATCAGAGAATTAAGAAAACTGGGAAAGAAGACAATAATGGTAATAACAATAAGATAACAGCATCATACACTAATAAATTATTAATATTATCTATGCCTGTTCAGGTTAATTACAACCCAGAGACAGTCAGTACTGATTACGATGAGTGTGAGAGGTTGTATTTTGATGAGCTCTCTTTTGAGACAGTGATGGACATATATGATCTTGAGCAGCCTGAAGGACTCATTTTATCAATGGGAGGACAGCTACCTAATAATATAGCAATGCCTCTATACCACCAGAAGGTACATACTATCTATTGTTGTCAGGGTTTCCCACAGGATTTTTGCATATTAGTACTGTAGCTTCTTGTCAGTGAATTTTTGATTCTCAAAAACTTGGTCAAAGTCCCTATGTACTGTATTGTAGTACTGTCAGCTCATGAAGCATGCTTTGTGGGAAACCCTGCTTGTATCGTCATGTGATACATGTACGTGTTTATATCATGTGATTGTCATGTGGTTTGTAGGTTAGGATATTAGGCACGTCCCCAGAGATGATAGACAGTGCAGAGAACCGGTACAAGTTCTCACGTTTACTTGACACAATCGGAGTACAACAACCTCGCTGGAAAGAACTAACACAGATTGAAGTAAGGAACATTAAATTCCTAGATCACAGATGAAATTGTTACCTTTAAAGTTCAATGTATATGTATATGTACTTATATTTTTTATTCTTTTTTTCTCTTTCTTTCTCTTAGTCTGCTAATGAGTTTTGTGAGTCAGTTGGTTATCCTTGTCTTGTACGCCCAAGCTATGTCCTCAGTGGTAAGCACATGATAGTCACGTGATTGTCAGGTGAGTGTCACATGATTGTTGTTGATGTTGATTAGGTGCTGCTATGAATGTTGCTTATTCCAATCACGACCTCAAGTTGTACTTGAATGATGCAGTAGCTGTCTCTAAGGATCACCCTGTAGTTATTTCCAAGTATATTCAAGATGCCAAGGTATAAATAATACACATGTACATGTACGAAATATTTTTTATAAAGGTACATGTAATTTTTATTATAATTTTATTTATAGGAAATTGATGTTGATTCTGTTGCCTGTGATGGTGTCATTGTTGCTATGGCAATTAGTGAACATGTAGAGAATGCCGGTATGCTATTGTACATGTACATGTACATGTATTTATATTTTGGTTTCTCCAGGTGTGCATTCGGGTGATGCCACGTTAGTATTACCAGCACAGGATCTTAATAAAGAGACAGTCCATAAGATCAGATCTATAACCGAGTCCATAGCAAGAGCTTTATCAGTATCAGGCAAGTGTTATTACTTATAATATACTTGAACCTTTTTTCTCTTTTCGTCTCTCTCTCTCTCTCTTTCTCCTCTCTCTTTCTCTCCTCCTCTCCTCTCTCTCTCCCTCTACAGGTCCATTCAATATCCAGTTGATAGCTAAGGACAATCAGTTGAAGGTTATAGAGTGTAACCTCAGGGTCTCTCGCTCTTTCCCTTTTGTCTCCAAGACGCTTGACGTCGACTTTGTCTCTTTGGCAACACAGGTGATCATTGGTCAGAAAGTCAAACCTGTCTCGATCAATTTTAAGAACCTTGGGAGAGTTGGAGTCAAGGTAGGAGTCACTATTGTACATATACATGCATGAGTGAAGGGTCTTAATAGTATCATACTGTAATTATCAGTAATGCTTTTAATGCTGATATCAAAAACTGGCAGAATTAAAATTAAAAGTGGATTTAAGCTGTACGTGTACATCTTTGCAGGTGCCTCAGTTTTCGTTCTCTCGTTTGGCTGGTGCTGATGTGAAGCTAGGAGTGGAGATGGCCAGTACTGGTGAAGTGGCTTGTTTTGGTGAGGACAGATATGAAGCATACATCAAGGCAATACTAAGCACTGGGTTTATACTGCCAGAGAAGACAGTACTACTGTCTATTGGGAGCTACAAGGTAATGAGAGGGAGAAATGGAAGAATGTGAGAAAATATGTTTGGATTTTTTTATGATTAATATTTGTTCTTTTACAGCACAAATCTGAGCTATTGGAGTCAGTGAAATTACTAAATGAAATGAATTATACATTGTATGCTTCTTTGGGTACAGCTGACTTTTATTCAGCGCATGGAGTTGAGGTACTTGTGTATGTTTAAATGGATATTTATTCACAGAAGTACATGTGCATTTACATTATTTTTATGTACATATACATGTAAATATTGGTGCTTGTAAATTTGTCAATTTTGCTCAGGAGAAGTTTCTTTTTTTAAGTTTAATCATCTCTTCTCTCTTGTAGACTAAGGCAATTGATTGGCCGTTTGGTGAAAATGGCTCGTCAGGTTTAAAGTCGAATCGTCAGTTGATGAGTATTTCTGATTATCTCTCCCAGCGTAAAATACACCTGGTCATTAACCTACCATTGAGACAACACAAGTAAGAAAAGGAGGGAGAGATAGAGATAGGTTTGGATATACAATGTACATGTATTTGCGGCTGCTTATTTTGCGATTTTTCCACGCCCAGCAATTACCATAGCCATATGGTATTTAATTTTTATTCTTTATTGTTGCAATAATAAGCACCTGCAAGTATAACCCAACCTACGGTATATGTATTGATTCTCAAGTAGGTTTAGTATAGTAGCTAATTTATTCAATGCGCAATTGATCGTAATCTAAAAAAATATTACACATCACTTCTTCACTTTTTGTACATGTATTTGTATCCATGTACATGTATTTATGTTTGGATAACAAAGATACAATACTATCAAATAAAGGATTGCTAGGTTCAATTTATTGTTGTTAATTTATAGTTACAATAACTTCCCATGCATTAATGAGTGTATAGACACACTTTTATGAAATCAAATTGTAAAAATTACTCCATTAGTGATAGTTATTGTAAGCATAGTCAATCAACCCACAGTCATCTTGAGACTAGATTATCATTCACTTATCAAGCAATGGAAGCACAGCAGAGTCAAGTTTATGAGGATCTAAACTGTGACACTATCAACAAGGATCATAATGTATATGAGCTGTGTCAAGTGCCAGCTACCAAAGAAAGGAGAGCTGAAGAACCTACTGAACCTAGGAATATAAAGAAGAAGAACAACAAGGAATTAACATGGAATAAACCAATCGTTATTATCATCATTGTATTACTGTCACTGGTAGTAATACTACAGGTTGGTATCCTTTACTTGCTACTAGCTCAAATGTCTACAAGAGATACACCATGTACATGTACTACTGGAGCTACTACTGCTAACAATCAATATCCTAATTTCACTCAATGGGCTAATGATATAGTTAATAAAGTCAACCAGAGCCTTCCTGACTCCAATGAATGGGCTAATGGTGTATCACAAAATATCCTTCAACTATTTCAGAACAATACCAACTTCACTGAACTTGATGAACAAATCTTACAAACTACAAGAGATTCTGCACAAAAGCTCATTAACATTGTCAATACTCTCTCTAATATACAAGACACCAGTACCTCTACTGCTGGAGTGGTGGATGATACATTTTTGTTCATTAGATCTAGACACCTTTCACAGTTGTATAACTCATCATTTGGTTTTCTAACATCATGCAAACAAATAAAGGCCCTATTACCTACCAGTCCATCAGGCTACTATACATTAGCATCAGCTAATGGATCATCATATACTGCTTACTGTAATATGGAGGAGTTGTGTGGTTCAGGAGGAGGATGGACAAGACTAGCATATCTGGATATGAGTGACTCTACAGAGAACTGTCCTTCTGGGTTTAGACTGTACCAGTCAGGAGGAGTTAGAGCTTGTGGTAGAGCAACATCAAGTGGAGGCAGTTGTGTATCAGTTCAGTTCCCATCTAATGGTATCAGTTATTCTCAAGTGTGTGGTAGAGTAACTGGATATCAATATGGACTGCCTGATGCCATTAATGTTCCTATTTCTACTTATCGTACTAATATCAATTCTTATTATGTTGATGGTGTTAGTATCACTCGTGGGTCTCCTCGTCAACATGTCTGGACACTAATGGCTGGTTTTAGTGATTCATTGTCTTCATCATATTCATGTCCATGTAATACTGGTAGTACAGTGTCAGTGCAGTCTTATATTGGTAGTGACTACTTCTGTGAATCAGGGATTACTGGTAGCACTATATATCATACTCTATACACATCTGATCCACTCTGGGATGGTCAAGCTTGTCTTTCTGTTGCATCACCTTGTTGTAATGTTCCTGGTATCCCATGGTTTCACAGAGACTATGGTAACACTACCACAACTGACTATATTGAGTTGAGGGTGTGTGCTGATGAGAGAACTTCTTGGGAAGACACTCCTGTTAGCTATTATGAGATTTACATTAAGTAGTGAAGTGTGTGTGTTTAAGTGTGTCATTGGCTTATTTTTGTTTGGTAGTTTCTTATTTTTATTCGTAGTTCGATTTTTACTTGGTTTGATGTTATTAGTGATATTCTTAGTATGAAATAGTTTTAATTTTTAGGTTTAGTAAAGTAGCTAATTTATTCAATGCGCAATTGACCGTAATCTAAAAAAATATTACACATCGCTTCTTCACTTTTTGTACATGTATTTGTATCCATGTACATGTATTTATGTTTGGATGACAAAGATTGCTAGGTTCAATTTATTGTTGTTAATTTATAGCTAAAATAACTTCCCATGCATTAATAAGTGTATAGACACACTTTATCAAATCAAGTTGTAAAAATCACCCCATTAGTGATAGTTATTGTAAGCATAGTCAATCAACCCACAGTCATCAAGAGACTAGATCATCATTTACTTATCGAGCTATGGAAGGAGAGCAGAGTCAAGTTTATCAGGATCTAAACCGTGACACTATCAACAAGGATCATAATGTATATGAATTGTGTCGAGTTTCAGCTACTGACGAAAGGAAAGCTGAACAACCTAAGAATATGAAGAAAAGGAAGGACAAGGAGCCAAAAACATGGAATAAACCAATCATCGACACAGTATTACTGTCAGTGATAGTGATACTACTGGTGGTCATCCTTTGCTTGCTACTGGTTCATATTATGTCCACAAGAGATGCAGCATGTACTACTGGAGCTACTACTGAAGCTACTGCTGGTAACAATGAAGATCCTAACTTCGCTCAATGGGCTAATGATATAGTCAATAAAGTCAACAGCAATGTAACAGGGAGCCTTCCTGACTTCAATGAATGGGCTAATGGTGTATCACGAAATACCCTTCAACTATTTCAGAACAATACCAACTTCACTGAACTTGATGAACAAATCTTACAAACTACAAGAGATTCTGCACAAAAGCTCATTAACATTGTTAATACTCTCTCTAATATACAAGACACCAGTACCTCTACTGCTGGAGTGGTTGATGATACATTAATAGCCGTTGTTCAGCTTTTATTGTTACATAATTCATCATTTAATTTTTTAGCATCTTGCCAGCAGATCAAAAAACTATTACCTATCAGTCCATCAGGTTATTATGCATTAGCATCAGCTAATGGATCAGCATATACTGCTTACTGTAATATGGAGGAGTTGTGTGGTTCAGGAGGAGGATGGACAAGACTAGCATATCTGGATATGAGTGACTCTACAGTGAACTGTCCTTCTGGGTTTAGACTGTACCAGTCAGGAGAAGTTAGAGCTTGTGGTAGAGCAACATCGAGTGGAGGCAGTTGTGTATCAGTTCAGTTCCCATCTAATGGTATCAGTTATTCTCAGGTGTGTGGTAGAGTAACTGGATATCAATATGGTTCACCTGATGCAGTACATGAGGATTCTAATCACAATAATTTGAATGCTGATTATGTTGATGGTGTTAGTATCACTCGTGGGTCTCCTCGTCAGCATGTCTGGACACTAATGGCTGGGTTTAGTGATTTACATTCTAATTCATGTCCATGTAGTACTGGTAGTACATTATCAGTGCAGTCTTTTATTGGTAATTGCTACTTCTGTGAATCAGGGAATAGTGGTATTGGTACAACAAATATTCTCTACACATCTGATCCACTCTGGGATGGTCAAGGTTGTCGATCTGTTGCATCACCTTGTTGTAATGTTCCTGGTATCCCATGGTTTCACAGAGACTATGGTAGCACTACCACTACTGACTATATTGAGTTGAGGGTGTGTGGAGATGAGGGAACTAATAATGAAGATGTTCCTGTTAGCTATTATGAGATTTACATTAAGTAGTGATGTGTGTGTGCGTGTGTGTGTGTCAATGGCTTATTTTGACTTTGTAGTTTATAGTTTTATTTGTTTTAATATTCTTAGTGTTATTCTTATTTTTAGATTGTTTTAACTTCTTGCTGCTAGAAAGCTCAAAACTTTCCCTTTTTAAGCTTCCATTTTGCTTACTTTTCTCCCACCCACTTTACTTATGACATGTGGGCCTGTTGGTTGCACTCACCATGCAATTGTAGCAAATCCAATAAGTGGCTAAAATGCAACAAAAGTGATACTAAGATAAAATTGAATCACAATGAATGAAACTGAATAATGATGCAGCACATCAGTTATTAACAAAGTGTCTTCTTTGTTTCATTACCATACCCCATTCTTGCACCATACAGTTTTCATTTTTGTAGAACAAAAGGAACAAATTTTGACCAGACAAACTGCAATAGGGTACAATTTTTATGCTATTATCTGTTCCTTCATTTCATTTTAAATTCTTTGTGATGAAATAGTAATAATGTAGTTCAAATGCATTGCCAAGTCCAGCATAGTATATTGCAGGGAAGTACTCATTCTCCTAAAGTAACGTGAGACAGTAAATGGCTACTGGAATGAGACAAAAATGATACTAAAATGAAATTAAAATTAATAATGACAAAGCACAATAATGACCAATATTTTATCCACATACTTGTACATGTAATATTTTTGGCCTCGCCTACGCGAGGTATAGGTAGTTGTTGTGTGTGTCTGTCATTCATTCATTCTGTACAAGCGAATTTTGTCTTTAATAAACTATAACTTTAGCATAGCATGTTCTAAGCTCCTAGATCTTTCTTTTTTTCGTGGAAAAGTCTTGCTTAACTGTTTTGTTTTGCTCAAATATCAGCGCTAGGTACAAGAAGCTTCAAAGTCAGAAAATCGAGTATTTGAGTCAAGTTCCATTGTTTTGGCACTCTAGAGATAGCTGGTAGCATTTTCCAGTAGATAAGAACATGGCCTTCAAAAGATATGAATAGATTTCTTTAAATCTTACTTGGTGAAGAGTTACAGTTGTCCTGGTTCTTGTTTGTGAAGCGCTGGAGCGACAACCTAGTGGGCTATAGGTACTAAAGTACCTATACTATCTCAAATACATGAAGGCAACAACTTTCTGTCAGCAAGTTTATCATATATTGCTGATTAGTAAAGAAAAAGTTAAGCTTCTTTCTCACATGGTC